ATTCAATTGTTTGGCAGTGTGGAGATGGAGCATGTCAGTGGTATGGCTTAGGGGCCTCTCTTTATAAATATCTTACTAAACAAAGACCCTGCATGAAAATCAGCCTGTCAACTAAGGAAATTACTGACTCTACCTGCTTCAAATTAGCAAGGAAATTAGTCATTGTTTTTTTGGCCCAATGTTGTTGTATTCATTTCTCATAAAATTTGAATTATACAGATGAGTGAAACGAAACGGAAAAAGCATGCAAACGAGATCAAATGTGGAATATTTTAGATTACGAATTCCTATTTGCAAAACATGTTTGTTTGCACGGATGTGTCCCATAAATTTAGCCAGATTTGAAATTAGGGTTGGTCAATCTCTGCCGTTCCTAGATGTTAGATTAAAATATATTAAACATATTAGCATATTTAATTATAAGCCTACAGCTATGAGTTTTATTTTGATTTTAATCATTGCATGGGTGAATGTCTTGGTCAATTTGTCAAACGTGACATCCGCTCCCTTCATATTTATCTCTCATTAAAAACAGAAAGATAAAAAATATAAAAAGGCAACAAATAAAAATAGATTGCCTAAAAAAATGGTATTAATTTAAATATGCTTAATCTGGTCATCAGTTCCCCTCGAAAACATCTAGGTGCCTCTGTCTGTGGGACTTAGTGTGCTGCTGTTTGCCTGGTTGTGCTGCTCTGTCTGTGGGACTTAGTGTGCTGCTGTTTCCCTGGTTGTGTTGCTCTGTCTGTGGGACTTAGTGTGCTGCTGTTTCCCTGGTTGTGTTGCTCTGTCTGTGGGACTTAGTGTGCTGCTGTTTCCCTGGTTGTGTTGCTCTGTCTGTGGGACTTAGTGTGCTGCTGTTTCCCTGGTTGTGTTGCTCTGTCTGTGGGACTTAGTGTGCTGCTGTTTCCCTGGTTGTGTTGCTCTGTCTGTGGGACTTAGTGTGCTGCTGTTTCCCTGGTTGTGTTGCTCTGTCTGTGGGACTTAGTGTGCTGCTGTTTCCCTGGTTGTGTTGCTCTGTCTGTGGGACTTAGTGTGCTGCTGTTTGCCTGGTTGTGCTGCTCTGTCTGTGGACTTTATTCTGCTGTTTGCCTGGTTGTGCTGCTCTTCGTGGACTGTAGCATTCTAATGTTAGTTTCAAACTCCTGTGGATTCTAAATGTTATCAGGTGACTCTGAGGTCCAGGCTAATGCTAACCTTAGACCATCTAAGGGCCTAAATCAACATCTATCTGCCCTCTTTCTACACTATCAATCTCGTAGGACGCCACCACACATCAACTCGATCTATGGAGAGAAGCGCGAGAACCCGAAAGTATTATACCCTAGTTGTATAGCGCTGTCCTCCCTCTCTCTCTCCCTTCTCTATCTCTCTCCCTCCATTTCTCTCTCTCTACCTTCTCTCTCTCTCCCTCTCTCCCACCCTCCCTCATTCTCTCTGTCTATTGTCAGGATAAATGTTATTGCCCAGTAACCTAAGCCCCTGGCAAATCTCAGGACTGCTAAATTGAATACTAAATCCAACCTACCTCGGACCAGCAGCGCCCCCTTAATAAAATATTAGAAATATTGTACCCAATATTGTATTGCTCTATTTTAATTTGTATACATTGTTTATGTTTAAAGATTAGATAGTAGTTATATATTTATAAAGAAAAATGTGAAAAGACGTGATAACACATGAACCTCTAGTTTGTGTGAAAATGTAGTTTGCTGGGTTAAATTTAACGGAAAGGGCGCATGCAGAAATAGGTATGTGAGAAAACCATTAGCAGAGATTCTATTGTTGCCATTACTTTTGAGGAACAATTTAGGACAGAATTATCCTGGTGTTCAAGAGAGAACTGGATTGGACACACTAGTGTGTGTGTGCATGTGTTTGAGTGTGTATCTGTGTACGTCACACACGCATTTGTGTGTGTGTGTATATATATGTGTGTATACGTGTGACTGTGTATACACTTGGCGTCCTAACTACCATTGACAGTAGTAAATAAAGATGGGTGGGTAGCATGGTTGTTTTCTCTCCTGCAATGCAAACGGTCTGAACGTCATAAATCACTTTTTGATTTATCTAATCAGCCAAGGTCCTGCTGCAGCCAGCCATTTGTCATTGGAGGAGGAACCTTGTCGGGCCTGTTCTAGCCTTCGCCTCATCGCCCCACTGCCTCTCTGCCGTGCTGCACAGCATCAGGACACGCAGGGAGAGAGAGAAAATAGGAGAGAAAAAAAAAAGGAGAGAAAAAAAGGAGTGTCATTAAGTGTGAGGCTCAGAAACAAAGGAGAATGAGAGAAGAAGAGAGTGTCTCTCTCTCTCTCTCCCCCCTCTCTCCCCCGTCTCTCTCCCTCCACATCTTTTTCTCTTTCTTTATGACCATTCAGGGGCCAAGGAAGAAAAGGACAGTGTGTTAGATGGAGATAGGGAGCTGATAATTGGACACCAGCTATCATGAGTCAAGTGAATGGATGTAGTGTACATTGTTTCCCTACTCAAGTCGATCATATCCTCTCGTGAAAGTCTCGATGTAATTCCACTTACAATATGGATGAGAGGAATCTATAGTTTTGAATTCCACTGTGTGGGTCTTGAAATGGCCGCATGCATATGATGCATTTGCGTAGCTCGCCACTTATCCATGTGTAAAGTGTTCAAGGTTGCGTGACAGTTTTTTTTCTTCAGACAGTGGAGTGTCTTCTTGTCTGTGACAGAGCTTTAAGTGTTGATGAAAACAGCATGATGATTAATAAAATAAATCAGTAGGACACACACACACACACACACACGCTATACATTCACATTCAATATGATGGCAATCAATGTCAATGGGGGCTACTTGTCTGTCCTCTCCTCGCCAGATTGTGAGTGTGTTTGCAACAACCTTTTGTCCAACAATCTCCTCTCTCCTCCTGGATGTAATTTAGTTGTAAATTGACTGGAAGATGGAGGGAGAAAATTGAAAGTTGAAATTAGAAATGGTCATAATAATTGGAGGGAGGGAGGGAGGGAGGGAGGGAGGGAGGGAGGGAGGGAGGGAGGGAGGAGTAGAGGAAAGGTCAGGTGATTGTGACGGGTGTGACGAGACCAGACCCAACTGGCCAATGAGGTGGTAGGGTTTGTCATCATGAGATGTATGTGACATGGCTCACACACACACACACACACACACACTACCAGTCAAAAGTTTGGACACACCTACTCATTCAAGGGGTTTTCTTTATTTTTACATTGTAGAATAATAGTGAAGACATCAAAACTATGAAATAACACACATGGAATCATGTAGTAACCAAAAACGTGTTAAACAAATCAAAATACATTTTATATTTGAGATTCTTCAAATAGCCAACCTTTGCCTTGATTACAGCTTTGCACACTCTTGGCATTCTCTCAACCAGCTTCATGAGGTCACCTGGAATGCATTTCAATTAACAGGTGTGCCTTCTTAAAAGTTAATTTGTGGGATTTCTTTCCTTCTTAATGCGTTTGAGCCAATCAGTTGTGTTGTGACAAGGTAGGGGGGTATACAGAAGATGGTATTTTATCAAATAGGGCTAAGTTCATATTATGGCAAGAACAGCTCAAATAAGCAAAGAGAAACGACAGTCCATCATTACTTTAAGAAATGTAGGTCAGTCAATACGGAACATTTCAAGAACTTTGAAAGTTTCTTCAAGTGCAGTCGCAAAAACCATCAAGCGTTATGATGAAACTGGCTCTCATGAGGACTGCCACAGGAATGGAAGAACCAGAGTTACCTCTGCTGCAGAGGATAAGTTCATTAGAGTTACCAGCCTCAGAAATTGCAGCCCAAATAAATGTTTCACATAGTTGAAGTCACAGACACATCTCAACATCAACTGTTCAGAGGGGACTGTGTGAGTCAGGCCTTCATGGTCGAATCGCTGCAAAGAAATCACTACTAAAGGATACCAATAAGAAGAAGAGACCTGCTTGGGCCAAGAAACATGAGCAATGGACATTAGACCGGTGGAAATGTGTCCTTTGGTCTGGAGTCCAAATTTGAGATTTTTGGTTCCAACCGCCGTGTATTTGTGAGACGCGGTGTGGGTCAACGGATGATCTCCACATGTGTAGTTCCCACCGTAAAGCATGGAGGAGGTGGTGTTATGGTGGTTTGCTGGTTTGCTGGTGACACTGTCTGTGATTTATTTAGAATTCAAGGCACACTTAACCAGCATGGCTGCCACAGCATTCTGCAGCGATTATGCCATCCCATCTGGTTTGGGCTTAGTGGGACTATCATTTGTTTTTCAAAAGGACAATGACCCAACACACCTCCAGGCTATGTAAGGGCTATTTTACCAAGAAGGAGAGTGATGGAGTGCTGCATCAGATGACCTGGCCACCACAATCCCCCGACCTCAACCCAATTGAGATGGTTTGGGATGAGTCGGACGGCAGAGTGAAGGAAAAGCAGCCAACAAGTGCTAAGCATATGTGGGAACTCCTTCAAGACTGTTGGAAAAGCATTCCAGGTGAAGCTGGTTGAGAGAATGCCAAGAGTGTGCAAAGCTGTCATCAAAGCAAAGGGTGGCTATTTGAAGAATCTCAAATATAAAATATATTTTGATTTGGTTAACACTTTTTTGGTTACTACATTATTCCATATGTGTTATTTCATAGTTTTGATGTCTTCACTATTATTCTACAATGTAGAGAATAGTAAAAATAAAGAAAAACCCTTGAATGAGTAGGTGTGTCCAAACTTTTGACTGGTACTGTATATGGACAAACACACCAGCATGCACACACAATCACAGACACACACACACGCATGCGCACATAAACACTTACACACCCATGCACGCACGCACACGCACACACCAGCCCTGCAGGGCCATCAAAGACCAGCGGAGGGAGAAAAGATTACCTTCATATTCCAGGCTGCAGAGAATTTCTCGGATGCTGTTGGAAATTCACATTGTGCTCTTGATTTCCTTTCTCTCCCTCTCTTATTTTATTCTCTTCTTCCCCTCCCTCTGTCACTTTTCTTGACAGGCCAATATTTCAGACTGCAGATATAGGGGGATTACATATAAAATAAGTGGAAGGCTGCTTAATGCACCAGAATTGAAATGCATGAACGAGTGGGAGGAATTGATATGCAGCCAGTACAAACACAGGACAGGGAATAATATGAAATACAAAATGTGTTTTTTTCTTCCCTCCATGTATCAATGCTTTACTTTTTATTTATTTGTATTTGTGCGTCTACGGTGAAGCGTTGATTCGCAAGAATGAGACTCACAATATTGCCTTGAGTAACCAGACAAGTGAGAGAGAGAGAGAGAGAGAGAGAGAGAGAGAGGAGAGAGAGAGAGAGAGAGGGAGGACGAGAGAGAGAAGAGAGAGAGAGGTTGGAGAGAGGAGAGAGAGAGAGAGAGAGAGAGAGTGAGAGAGAGAGAGAGAGAGAGAGAGAGCGAAGCATAGTGGGGTGCTACTGCTATTTCTTTGTGTTGTGCAGAGAGGGTAAATTGCACTGGCAGAGTGTAGCTTCACACACATACATACACAGTTTGGCTGTATCTAAGGATGAGGTAATAAAACATTTATCAGTGGGTAGCAGCGTCTGCTAAATACAACCAGAGGCTGATCTCTTAGCATTGAGCTCTGCTGCAGCCATATAAACCACCTCCCCACCTCCAGCCGTGACCAGAAAACGGCTCAGATATTTAGCATGATGTGTGTGTGTGTGTGTGTACATGTTTGCCTGCTTGCGTACGTGTGTGTGTATTTGGAGGAAAAGGGGGGCTAGATGCATATGGCCTAATGAAGTGTATAATATTACCATAACATTTAATGTATGTCTTGCTGTGAAAATGAGGCTGGTTTGATTTTCTCTCCATTTCTCTCATGTCCTCGGGGCAGAATGACTCAATGTATATGAATGAGAATTAGGAGGGTGATACGATAGGTCTACACTTCTAGCCCCACAGCCAATGTCTGTCACGACATGAAAATCACCACGTGTCCATCTGTATTTTAATTTGATACACATTATTTGTGACAGACATCAATTAATTGACTTATTTTTTGGCTTCATCCATTGAGAACTATGATTTTACTAGAACATATTTTTTATAACAGAGATACAACACAATATAACAATTTTCCTCTGTGCTGTCTTGTGTTTTAGGAGTGAACTCTCTGTTTAAAGAGTCTCCTGGATCCAACGCTGTGGGAAAACGCTCCATGCTGCCAGAGAGACAGAATGACAGCCCGCCCAAAAGGCCCAAGTCTGCCGAGGGGAAGACCTGCACTAGCGAACAGGTATGCTAAGCAAACTGCTAATGCTCCATGATAAACCGACAGGGAAAGCTATATTTAACCAGTTAGCAGGTATGCTAAGAGTTAATATCTCAGAAAGTAGTGTGCTGTCAACAGAACTCAAAGGGTTAACCCCAAACTCATCCCTCACTGACAGAACACTTTAGCATCACCCATAGTACATTCTCGCTCCTTTGTGTTCTTAAGTGGAATGCCTACCCGCCTGCCTGCACCAGGCAAGGCTCTCTCCCTGTCCCCCTCTCTTTGCATGTCTTTAAATGATATGTGTTTTTAAATTAGATTATGAAGCTTGTCTGGTGGAGGGCCCTGAGTGGAAGGAGGCCTGAGTCATTTCAGAAATGGATTACATTAAGGCAGGTGGCTGGAGGCGGCCATTTTAGGAGTACTCCTTGTAATGAGGGCTTGGCGGGAGACGGGGAGGCTACACACCTTTGTCATCTCTAATCTCCTGATTAGAAATTCCCTCCAATCAGGTTTCCCGCTAATAAAATTACACGAGTTGAGGGGCTTAAGTGCATTACATGGAAAGGCGGTTGATGTACATTTTGTGTGTAAAGGTAAAGTGGGACGAGTGCGGTGGGGGGGGGGGGGGGGGGGGGGGAGGATATTCCGATTTGTTTAGATGAAGGGAAATTCCGTTCAATCTTTTATCCCTATCTTCAGAGCACTCTGTCGTCTAGGTTTCTCAGTGCTGTTAAAAGTGACATGTTTTTACTTGTTCGCAATGGTTATTTGTTCTGTTCTCCAGTATTTTCCCAGTAATAACCATAGCATGCTGTCTCTCTCTCTCTCTCCCAGCAGGTGCAGCAGTGCCCCTACTGTAACTACAGCAGTAAAGACGCCAACAGGATACAGCTCCATGTGGTGTCCCAGCATTCCATGCAGCAGCCAGTGATCAGCTGCCCACTGTGCCAAGACGTCCTGAGCAACAAGATCCACCTGCAGCTCCACCTCACACACCTGCACAGCGTGGCTCCAGACTGTGTTGATAAACTGCTTATGACCGTACGTTTGATACACAGATAACTTAACAACATTCAGGTGATGGGGGGGAGGGGGGGGGGGGGGGGGGGGTTGGTGGTGCTGATCAGTGGTGAGAAAAATGCGGAGGATAAATCTAATTTGCTTCTAATGGCATCGCACGTACAGTACATTTTTCTCAAGGTCTAAAGGTTTTCTTTAATCCCTTTTAAGATCTATGATGTTGAGATGGCAAATTGAAAAATGGCAGTCATTCTGTCTTGGCTGTCCAGTGCTCCCTACAGTCCCATAACTAGCTCTGGCCAGTGCTGTCACTGTGCAGTCCTATAAAACATTTCCTATGCATTTATCCCACTCTCCCGAGAATACGTCATAAAGTTGACAGTTAAGCAAATTCTGCTTTCTGAAAATGAGCTCTTTTTATTGGTGAGAGGCGAGTTGAAAAGTACACCTCCTTTACATGTTTTTGGTATTTGCGGTGAATGTTTTGACTGAACGTCTTAACCGCTGCACTATCATTATTGTTCATGTCAATTCAAAATATTGTCAGCAGCACCTGCACCAACATTATAGTTATTAAATGATAGATTATCTATTATTACATTACATTACATTTTATATTTTAATAAAATGTTGTTATGATGCATGTTGCAATTATGGATGGTTATGATTAAGATTATTACATTGTTTTTGTTGTCTGACTTTGATAGGTGGCTGGGCCTGATGTGATGGTGCCTAATAACATGATGCATCCTTCATCTGGACAAGACAACGCTCTGTCTCTGATGGATGCTTCTGCTGCTCTCTCTGAGAAGTCTCGAAAGCCCACAGGTACGCAGAGCACGTTTACCACTGTTACAATACCCCTGCCGGTATTGAATGCACTATTTTGAGGTTGTTTGGAAAGTGTAATTATTTCACCATTATGAGTTACAGTAAGTGTCCTTGGGTTGTAGAAGGGCCCTGCTACACAAATGAAACAAAATATTATTTATTTTTGCCAGACAAGTTTTACGTTTCCAGAGTTTATATATTTGTACAATGTCTTTTGTTCATGAATTTAATTGGTTTTTCGTTGTCCTTTCTCAGGGAACAGTTCCAAGGATGAGATGAACAGCACAGGCCAAGGCAAGAGTGAACTAGACCTCCATGTAGAGGAACTCAAACCCCCCAAGGATGGGTCTGAAGCCCCAGACTGGAAGAGGTCCGTTGTGGTCGGGCAGGATCGAAAGAGCCCTGACTCCCTTCAGGACCATCTGAACGACCTCCAGAGATGCCAGCAGCAACAGCAACAGCAACAGCTCTCGGTCTCCGACCGCCACGTCTACAAATACCGCTGCAACCACTGCAGCCTGGCCTTCAAGACCATGCAGAAGCTGCAGATACATTCCCAGTACCATGCCATCCGGGCGGCCACCATGTGCAGCCTCTGCCAACGCAGCTTCCGGACATTCTTGGCACTCCGGAAGCACTTGGAGAACGGACATCCGGAGCTGAGCGAAGCCGAGGTCCAGCAGCTCTGCGGCAGCCTGCCGGTAAACGGAGACTTCCTCTCAGAGAGCGAGGCCAGGGCCTACGAGGAGGCGCAGCAGGCCTTCGAACAGGAAATGGAGAAAGACGATGAGCTGGACCTGGAAGAGAAGGCCAGCCCAACAGGAAGTGACAGTAGCTCGTTGCTAGACGACATGGGAGCCGAAACTAAGCGAACCCTCCCCTTCAGGAAAGGCCCCAACTTCACCATGGAGAAGTTCCTGGACCCATCCCGGCCATACAAGTGCACGGTGTGCAAGGAGTCCTTCACCCAGAAGAACATCCTCCTGGTCCACTACAACTCTGTCTCTCACCTGCACAAGCTGAAGAAGGTTCTCCAGGAGGCCTCCAGCCCGGTTCCTCCAGAGACCAACAACAATGTAGACAACAAACCATTCAAATGCAGTATCTGCAATGTTGCCTACAGCCAAAGCTCAACCCTGGAGATCCACATGAGGTCTGTGCTGCATCAGACCAAAGCAAGAACTGCCAAAACAGAGACAAGCAGCAGCAGTAGCAGTGCAGGGAGTGGGAACACTAGTGGCTTGGCTCCATCCAGCAGCCCAGCCCCAACCGGACAAGGCAACAACACCAACTCAGACACTGCTAGAAGCGTGACGCCGTCGGCTAACAAAGAAAACACTGTAGATGCCAAAGAAGCCAAAAACAGCAGCAACAACGCAAAGCAAACTACTGATCATGTCTCTGCACAGCAAAGCCATCAGAACGCTCAGTCCCAAGCTCAGCTACAGATGCAGCTCCAACACGAGCTCCAGCAGCAGGCTGCCTTTTTCCAGCCCCAGTTCCTCAACCCGGCTTTCTTCCCCCAGTTCGGCATGACCCCAGAGGCTCTGCTTCAGTTCCAGCAGCCACAGTTCCTGTTCCCCTTCTACATCCCAGGGGCAGAATTCAACCTGAGCCCAGAGCTGGCTCTTCACTCAGCCGCCGCTTTCGGAATGCCAGGCTTGACTGGTTCTTTCCTGGAAGACCTGAAGCAGCAGATGCAGCAGCAACACCAGCTACAGCAGGCTCAGGCTCAGCAGCAGGCTCAACAGCAGGCTCAACAGCAGCAACAACAGCAACAGCAGCAACAAGCATCCCAGTTGCAGCTCCAGCAGCAGAAGAACCAGCAACTGCAGAGCCACAAGCCCAAAATGGAGCCCAATGCTGTGTCAGTGTCTGACATACAGATGTCCAGAGAGGCAGAAGAGCATCTGGAAAAACAGGAGAGCAAAGCAAAGATGGAGAATGGAGGGGATGGAGTCAGTGAGGGAGGAAAGGACAACAAAGACAAAAAGTCCACGTTTCCCGAGCCGCTGATTCCTCCTCCACGTATCGTTTCAGGAGCCAGAGGAAATGCTGCCAAGGCCCTTCTGGAGAACTTTGGATTTGAGCTGGTCATCCAGTACAACGAGAACAGGCAGAAAAACCAGAAGAAAAACAAAGAAGGAGAACAACAAAAACAACAACCACAACAACAACAAGTGGAGATCAATAACGACAAGCTGGAATGTGGGATGTGCGGAAAGCTCTTCTCCAACATGCTTATTCTTAAAAGCCACCAAGAGCACATCCATGGACAGTTCTTCCCTTATGGAGAGCTGGAGAAGTTTGCCCAGCAGTACAGAGAGGCCTATGACAAGCTCTACCCCATCAACCCCCCTTCCCCCGAGACTCCCCCACCTCCGCCTCCCCTTCCTCCTCCACCACCAGCACCAGTGACCACCCAGCAGCCTCCTTGCACTTCCATGAACAAGCCCCAGATCAAGGCCCCATCCCCTGCCCCAAACCAGGCTCCACAGCCCCAGCCACCACCCCCACCTCCCCTTCCTCCACCAGCCTCCCCATCCCCACAGGTGCAGCCTTCCATCCAACTAGATTTCTCCCTCTTTCCCCCTCTGATGATGCAGTCCATCCAGCACCAAGGGCTACACCCTCAACTTGCCCTGCAGCTGCCTACAATGGACTCCCTGTCCTCAGATCTCACCCAGCTTTGTCAGCAGCAGCTAGGCCTCGATCCAAACTTCCTGAGGCAGGCCCAGTTCAAGCGCCCTCGAACCCGCATCACGGACGACCAGCTGAAGGTCCTCCGAGCGCACTTTGACATCAACAACTCGCCCAATGAGGAGCAGATTCAGGAGATGGCTGACAAGTCCGGCCTCCCCCAGAAAGTCATCAAGCACTGGTTCCGTAACACCCTCTTCAAAGAAAGGCAGCGAAGCAAAGATTCTCCTTACAACTTCAACATTCCACCTATTACCACGTTGGAGGATATTAGGCTGGAGTCCCAGTATAGTACACTGGAGTACTACAGGACTGATGCCACCATGAACAAGAGGTCCTCCAGGACAAGGTTCACTGACTACCAACTGAGGGTCCTGCAGGACTTCTTTGACACAAACGCTTACCCGAAAGATGATGAGATTGAGCAGCTCTCCACTGTGCTCAACCTGCCATCTAGGGTCATCGTGGTGTGGTTCCAAAATGCCCGCCAGAAGGCCCGGAAGAGCTACGAGAACCAGGCAGATGCTAAAGACAATGAGAAGAAAGAACTGACGAATGAGCGCTACATCCGCACCAGCAACATGCAGTACCAGTGCAAGAAATGCAGTGTGGTGTTCCCGCGAATCTTTGACCTGATCACCCACCAGAAGAAGACGTGCTACAAGGACGAGGATGAGGAAGGGAATGAGGACAACCAGTCTGAGGAGTACATGGATATGGGAGAGCCAGGCCCAGCCAAGCACCCAGAGTCATCCAAGCATCACCGTGGAACAGCCACTAGCTCAGGCTCCAGCTCCCCTCTGATGCCCTCCCCTCGCTCCAACCTGGGGAAGACCTCGCCCAAGCCTGAACCTCCCTCTGAGCCCAAACCTAAAGAGCCAGAACCTGCCCCTTCCCCAGTTATGATGAAGTCTCTACCAGACCCCAGACCCTCCAAGGCCTCCACCCCCCAGCCACCCCCTCAGAAGACCCCCCAGCCCCAGATGTCCAGACCCCACTCCCAGCCTCAGTCAGCCGCCGTCCCCTCCAGCCCCCTCTCCCTCGCCCTCTCCTCCCTCACCAACAGCCTCCCTCCCCAGATGCTCCAATACCAGTGTGACCAGTGCAAGATAGCCTTCCCAAGTGTTGAGCTATGGCAGGAACACCAGCACATGCATTTCTTGGCTGCCCAGAACCAGTTCCTCCATTCCCAGTTCTTGGAAAGGCCCATGGACATGCCCTATATGATCTTCGACCCCAATAATCCTCTGATGACTAGCCAGCTGCTGTCTGGAGGACTCCAGATGCCAATTCAAAGCGGCTCTGGTTTGTCCTCAGGCCCCGGCTCTGGCTCCATGAAGAGAAAACTAGACGAGAAAGAGGATGGATCCAATGAAAAAGATAACGGAAACATGACTGAAGAACAGCACAGAGACAAACGTCTCAGAACTACCATCACCCCAGAACAACTAGAGATCCTCTACGACAAATACTTGCTGGACTCAAATCCCACAAGAAAGATGCTGGATCACATCGCACGTGAGGTCGGCCTGAAGAAGAGAGTGGTGCAGGTGTGGTTTCAGAACACACGTGCCCGAGAGAGAAAGGGACAGTTCAGAGCTCTGGGGACCCTCCCAGTCACACAAGAAATGCCCTTTTTGTCGGGCGCTGTTCAAGGCCAAGTCAGCTTTGGACAGCCATATCCGCTCTAGACACTGGCATGAAGCCAAACAGGCAGGGTTTAGTCTGCCCAATAGCCCAATGATGAACCAAGACGATGGAGGCGAGAGCCCACACAAGTACAACTTCTTTGAGTATCCACAGCTGCCCACCAAGACTGAGCCAAATGAGTACGAGCTGCCCGCAGCCTCCTCAACACCAGTCAAACCATCTGAGGCACCGTTAAAAAACTTATTGAGCCCTTCATCCTTAAAAGCAGAAAACTGTGATGAATCTGAAGGGCTTAACATCAATTCTGCAGAGGCCTCATCCTACGACATAAACAACAAAATGGATTTTGACGAGACCTCGTCCATCAACACGGCCATAAGTGACGCCACCACCGGAGACGAGGGCAACAACAACGAGGTAGAGAGCCTCACAGCCAACGGAGGGGACAAGCTGGGCTGCGACAGCAAGAGCAACCAGGCCCAGAGCTCAGACGGGGGTGGCGACGACCGCTTCCCCTTCAGCATGGTGAGCCCCTCCCTCAGCTACTCGGGCAAGGACGGAGACTCCTGCTCCTACTCCTACTCCTACTACAGCTCCAGAGATGACGACATGGACGACAACAACGACCAGAGCGAGACCTCCAGCCTGACCGACCCCAGCTCTCCCAACCCCTTCGGAAGTGGAAACCCCTTCAAGTCTGGGAAGGGCAGCGGCAGTGGTGGCGATAGACCAGGCCATAAGCGCTTCAGGACTCAGATGAGCAACCTTCAGCTGAAAGTCCTCAAAGCTTGCTTTAGCGACTACCGCACCCCAACCATGCATGAGTGTGAGATGCTGGGCAGCGAGATCGGCCTCCCCAAGCGCGTGATTCAGGTGTGGTTCCAGAACGCCCGTGCCAAGGAAAAGAAGTTCAAAATCAACATCGGAAAGCCATTCATGATCAGTCAAGGTGGGCCGGATGGGCCCCGGCCGGAGTGTACTTTGTGTGGTGTGAAGTACACTGCCCGGATGTCCATCCGCGACCACATCTTCTCCAAACAGCACATTGCTAAAGTGCAGGAGACCCTGGGCAACCAGGTGGACAGAGAGAAGGACTATCTAACGCCCACCACGGTCCGCCAGCTGATGGCTCAGCAGGAGATGGATCGTCTGAAGAAGGCTGGGAGCGATGGGTTCAGCTGCCTGGCTGCCCAGCAGCTTCAGACTGCAGTGGACCAGAACAATGCACTTCACGGCCTCAGCCTGCCCTCAGGCTACCCCGGGATCTCTGGACTTCCGCCGGTACTACTTCCTGGGGTCAACGGGCCGTCCTCACTTCCTGTTTACCCACCCAACACACCTGGTGAGTTAGTATGACGAACAGAGAACACACAGAGAATAGTAGCTTTATTATGAACTTTTATGAACATTTATTGTCCATACTTTATATGCACAAAAGACTCTTTCTCTACTCTACTTTCTCTGCTCATTCCATTACAGTGTTGTTGTTGGTGGGGATAGAGATATTTTGACCAAACGTTGGAGATTGTGTAAAGGACACTTTAATGCATGCATGATCTCAACGTTCAGTGCGGAACTGCTAAGTAAAATAATAGTTTAAAAGCAAAAGCATTTTTATCATTGGTTTTATTTGTGGTGTTTATTTCCCCTCCTCTCCTTTGATGTGGGTTTGGTATATTTATAATATCCTCATGTTGGTATCTCATAAGGCGCATGTGACAGTTTTGATCCATAACAAAATCTAAAAAAGAAAAAAAAGAAAAGTATAAAGTAAATCATAACTGCAAACATTTCCATAATGTCATACTGAACAATATTTCAATAGTAATGTTAGGGTGAATATAAATATATTTCAATATAATTTATACCACTGTATTTCAGCTTTAGCGTCTCCCGGTGCTGGTATGCTTGGGTTCCCCACCCCAGCCACCCCCTCTCCTGCCATGTCTCTCAGCACTACCCCAACCAAGACTCTTCTGCAGACTCCTCCTCCACCTCCACCACCTCCTCCTCCTCCTCCTCCACCTACTCCTGTTTCATCCATCCCTCTGACTTCAACCAACTACATCGAGCAGCACAGCAAATACCAAGAGAGAGACAGCAACAACAGCAGCAGCAAGAAACCAGTGGAGAAACCGCACCACCAGAAGAAGGCCAAGGAAAGAGAAGCAGAGAATGGCGGCCGTCCACAGACCCCCAACGTCAGCAACAACAAGAAGAGGGAAAAGCCGTCTCCAGCCACGGGGAAACCGGGAAGTGAGGGTCATCTGGATGTCGCTCAACTACAAGCTCTTCAGAACGCCCTGGCTGGTGCCACAGACCCAAGCTCCTTCCTGGGAGGCCAGTTCCTGCCTTACTTCCTCCCGGGCTTCGCCAACAGCTTTTCGCCCCAGCTTCTTGGAGGAATGCAGGCGGGGGGATACTTCCCTCCGTTCGGCGGGATGGAGAACCTATTCCCCTACGGACCTGCCGCCATCCCGCAGGCCGCCATGGCTGGGATGAATCCCACTGCCCTCCTGCAGCAGTATCAGCAGTACCAGCAGTCTCTCCAGGACTCCCTGCAGAAGCAACAACAGCAGCAGCAGCAGCAGCTGCAGCAGCAGCAGCACCAAAAGCAGCTTGAGCAACAACAGCAGCATCATAAACAGAAGCAGAAGCAGAAGCAGAAGCCAGCCCCTGTGAAGGCGTCGTCACCATGTGTGCAGAGCAACTCAAACTCCTTCAACCCAAAAGAATCTATGGATGACACCAACAACAACAAAGGCTCTTTGACAGAAAGCACAAAAGTAGAACCACCAACAGAAACCAAAAGTACCACAGACTTTCCTGACGCTTTCATCGTTCCATCTGTCAAGCACGAGTTCATATGCAGGAAGTGCCATAAGGTATTCAGCGACGAGGGCTCCGCAGTGCATCACCAGAAGTCATTCTGCTACTTTGGAAACCCTTTTCCAGACCCGCAGGAGACAGTTCTTAGAAAGGCAGTGAGCAAGTACACGTGCATCGCCTGCAACGTGGTGGTCAACGGGAATGAAGCACTTGGCCAACACCTCCAGTCGAGCTTGCACAAAGAGAAAACAATCAAACAAGCAATGAGAAATGCCAAAGAGCATGCTAGATTATTACCTCACTCTGTCTGCACCCCTACTCCTGACAACACCACATCTACCTCGCAGTCTGCAGCTCCTCCTTCTAATAACACCTTTCCTCATCTCTCTCGCTTATCCATCAAGTCCTGGCCAAATATCCTTTTCCAGGCCACCGCCCGGAAAGCTGCTTCTTCCTCCTCCTCCCCGTCTGCTTCTCCTCTTCCTCTTCCTCCCCTTTCCTTGCCTCTAACGGTTACCTCAACGTCCTGCAGCAGCGTCTCAGGGGTTCCCACCTCCCTACCCAACGAGAGTTGTTCAGATGAGTCTGACAACGAGCTAAGCCAGAAGCTGGATGACTTAGATAAGGTGTTGGAGGCCAAGGCTAAGCCGACCTCCGGCTTAGACGCAGGCTTCAGCAGTATCAGAATGGATATGTTCAGTGTGTAGGAGGTGAAAAACAGGATCCCTTGCTTTAAAAAAAAATAAAATAAAAAAATAAGACTTTTAAACTGCAGTTCCAAAGTTTCTCTAACCCAAAAAAATTACAGTACCAAATGATTGACTCAGGATTGTTTTTCCCATATTGATATGCTGGCAAGATATTGATTGATTTTTGTTATGGACAGAACTGTTGCAGATGCTTGACTGAGCTTATATTGTATACAAAAACATGGAGTAGAAAAAGATCTCACAGGCTCCCCCCGTGGAGCTTGTCTCAAGCCAAAAACTCACGATAGCAAATTGCACCTCAGCTGGATTGTTTTCCAAATGCTAGCATGTACTGTATGGGATGACGATCCAGAAAACCCTCAAAGAGAATCTCTCTTAGTCTAGATAGGTGTAATTCAGTAGCTTTAAATTCTCAGGTCAGAACATAACATTTCTCATTTGTTAAAGCAGCAACGAGCCTGGGTACACTTGGCTTTTAACCAAAACATGTCAAGCTTTATCGGACGCATTTCCTTGATGTGTGTAGAGTACCAAGAGAGACAATATTACTGTTACAATGGACAACGTGCATATCCTTTTAGTTTCTGCCCTACAAAGACAGTATGGTTTTGCCACTGAGGGAATTTTAGAATGGTGAAGTATAAGTGTATGATGCCCCTGTGTTTGCCAGTTTGTATTACAACAAACTGTGTCTATATCCAACCCCCTTTTTCTCTTGTAGAATATACTAATCTGTGCCAACTCTTACCTTCTCTCATGTACATCTGCTCACACACTTTTCTGAAGAGGTAATAACTCTAGTTTTATACACTCTTGAGGATTAATTATGTGAATAAGACATTTTTCATTTGTGAATTGCTGTACTGTTATGGTACCTGCTTGTGTCTGGACTATAGTGCACTTATTTTGTTTTTTATTAGTCTTATTATTTTGGTAGACCCATGTGTTAATTTAATAGACTTTTTCCGTTGGTATGTTTGTTTTAATTATTATTTTGTGTTTATCGCAGCAGCATTTTGGTCCACATTTGTTAGAGGATTGATGCCTAACAACCCAGTGACCTATTTAACAATTGGTGCATCCATGAAAGTAGTACTGTATACTTGAAACTGTTAAAGTACAAGTCGGTCAAATTGTTTTTTTGTTTTTTTTTAAGGTATGAATATTTGCATAAGCAAATATGCTGCATTAAAAAGGGGGACTACAGCATTTATTTAATATAATGAAACGTTTTTCCCTGTGCTTGTAGGACTGATAACAGTGTTAAACCTATACACTGCCATTTAGTGCATAGGTCTTCGTCCTCAGTCATTTTCTGGGCACTTCAGTTGATAAATCATGAAAAGTCAACACTAATTATTCAGTTTATTTTAGACGTTTATGCATTACAAAGTATTACCTTATAACAAAATGTTGCTGCTACTGTGTAATATTATTTTTTGCTCGCCATAAATTCTCCAACAGACTGAATACTGACCCATGGATCGCTTTGCTTTGCCGTCTTTATTTTTCATTCTGTTTATTTTGTTTTTGTCTTCTTTTATTTTGCAGTGGAACTTAAAGAATGTGAAAGCTGTCAAAGGGTGTTATATTTTTACGAATCACTTTCTAGTTTGGTAAGGTAAGCCAATGTGATTCATTCCAAAGTAACAGGAGGCTATTTGTATGAAAGAAAAAGGCTTGTGAACAAAGAGAGCTAAGCTGTTGTACATATTCGTAGTTGGCTGTGCATGGTACAAATTTATTAATATGAAGAAATGCAAAACTGTATTGCTTTTGGTATTTCCTATTCTGAGATGAACAAGTAGCATGTAATGCAACTGTTTGACAGGTTAAAATCAAATCATGCTTAGTTATTGTTTCAAACGATGAAATCCAGTAACATTTCCTCTTACGTTTTATTATAGTACAGGTGTTTTTGTTTTTTCGTTCAAAGTTTAACATGCAAAATGTCACAGTTTTTAATTCTCTTTTTTGTGTGAAACTTTTTAAATGTTCTGATTTGGATTTTTAGTATTTTAACATTTACTTTGATCCTGAAGACACTTTTACGATTGTGTTTCATAAGAGACGTCCTGGCCGCCCTATAGGTGCAATCCTGCCATTGTACAAACACCAACGACTGTCCTGATCCCAAAGGCTTTCACAACCTGGCTTCTTGCCTTTCCCCTCAATGTGGCTAAAGCATTGCCAGACTGAACTGTCAGCTAGCATCACGTGCTAAGATGTTAGCAGCAAACACAATGCTTCCCACACTAAAGGACTGGTAAAAGCTAACAAATCAACAACCAAAAGGATGGTCCGATAACATAACGAACTGTATATAAATGTTGCAACTGCACAGCAGCCAAAAAGAAAGAAAGAATAAAAAAAAACTGTTTAAAACGGATGGATTGTGTCATGCTAAAGAGAGGACAGCCTTCAAAAGGTTGATATTGGGATTGTTTTCTTCTGGATGTCAAAAGGGATTTTCACGGCGCAATCATATCCTACACAATATGTACTCTACGTCCTGGTTACATAGGAAATGCATCCTGAGGGTTTACTAAGAAGAAGCCCCTATGGCTAAAACTTTAAATAAACTAAACCAAAAATGTTATTGATGTTTTATATATAGAGAGTAGTCTCATTAGTTTTTGTTACTGTAATGTTTGAGGTCTCAACTGTACCGTTACACCGGTAATAACATGGTTTTGAAACTTTTATTTTTTATTTTTGTCACAGACCTGTTGTCATAGTTGAAATGACGTTTATTGTAGATGGTATTTGAACAACTTCTGGAAATAGTTCATCAAGTATGTTTGTTGCTCATTGTTGTGATACATTAAAAACTGTATCTGCAAATCAGTTTCGTGTCTGTCATCAAAAGTATATTATTTGTTTCGTATCATTGTTTTGAATCAGCTTCATTCACATCACATAAACATGAACAAAAAGCCATGTTATCATAAATGGCGTACATCATACAGCTATTTCATGTGTATTGATTTGGAATACAGTTACCTTTGTGTTTTACAGCATAATTGAATGGGGTGTATTTATTTCTACATATTAGCAGAGAATTCATTTCACTATGTATGTCCTGACAGTATTGTCAACATCTTATAAGGTAGCATCTTTGCTTACATTTGACCTTTTGGTCATTTAGGCATTGCTACCTTTTGGCATTGCTGCACTACTCTGTAGATTCACAAATGGGGCAAAATCTAAACCTGTTTTAGTCACATTTTTATTTCCCTGCTTCTGCAAGAGCTGGCATTCCTTTGAGCAGGAGAGTATTCGTATTTGGTATTTTATTAGGATCCCCATTAGCTGTTGCAAAAGCAGCAGCTACTCTTCCTGGGGTCCACACAGAACATGAAACATGACATAATACAGAACATTAATAGACAAGAACAGGACTACATCAAAACATTTTTAAAGGCACACATAGCCTATATATCAATACATACACATAAACTCTAGGTCAAATAGGGGAGTATGGTGATTGATGGAATATCAGCTATCTGACATGTTATTTTGTTGTAATCTGGCTTTCACCAGATGTACTGGATGATCATCTGAAGTATCAGCTAATATGGAGAGGGTTTCAGCAGGTATTGTCATAAATTCCTCCCATCATGGAAAAGGGGAATACACACAAACACACTCTTAAGAGTTAAGTTTCACATTAGGCGTATGGTTTGCGGATAAAAGTCACATTTTTGGAGGGAAAGCTTAGCCTTACACTTCCTTTGTAGCATGGGCAGATATTGACGACCCAGTAGTATTAGTTGAGAGACCAGGGTTGTGGTGGAGAAGAGTGGAGATAGAGAGAGAGATCTGGCTCTGAATAGCCTGCAGCTAATGGATTTCCCCCTGGATAATGCCATGTTTGGGACAGACAGAGAAGCATGTATTAGACAGGACTGATCCATCCATCTCCCCACGTGCCAAATTTAATTAGACTGAAATCAGCATGAGATGAAAGCAAGCCCTGGCTTCACCCTCACTAAATAACACACACACACATACACTACAGGAATCAGTATTCTACACATGGGAATTTAATGACAGAGGGCTGAAATTCCCATCACTTTCATTCCCAGATCATCAGCAGCAGTATTGGGCTTTCTGAACGACGAGGAAGAACAACAGCGAGGATTCATTTGTCGATACATATTGACATGTATAACATACTAATGTATGTGTGCATCGGTAATGCTATGTTGTCATCGTTTAACATTGATAAACATGTTCTAATGAATTGTATTACATCGTAACCCCACCAGGGTTAGGTATTTTTGGTTTAAAAGGGATGATCACAGACCGTAATGTCAGCTGTGTATTATTTTATTGTCTGTCTGATGGATAAGCTACAAGGCAAAAGAGAACACACACACACACACAGAAGGTCCACCCAAGACGGAACGCCCTACAAGAGCATCCGTCATGCCTCTGAGATACCAGAAAACAACTGAAAACACAGGAGGGGCTCACATACACACACACTTCTCACAGCATCAAAGAGGCCATAACAATGAAATAACTTTCACAATTGTTCTCTGCAAAGGTCAAATGCACTTGAATCCTGTAATGTGTGGGGACCCCTACCTCAAAGTCCAGTTATACGCTGTAGAACAGAATAACAAAAACTGGCTATTCAGCAGTGAACTCACACCCTGCAAGGGGAACACATTCATCAAGGGCCGAGAGGTCAACCCATGAGCAAGAAAAGCTGTTTTTGAGCCACGTCGATGTAAAGTGTGGCAGTGAGCGGCGGACCCACACACTGATGTACGGAACAAAGCTAGAGAGGTGACACTGATTCGGTCAGAGTGGAAAGATCCTCGTCTTGCCTTTGGCCTCGTGAAATGTCATTAAGTCCATTTAATGACTTGTGAACGCATCCCTCTCCGAGACTCTGAGGCTAGCACAGAGTAGGCACACACACACACACACAAACAAACACGTGTTACACTGGCAGGATGTGATCGGTCTCAAGTTTTCGTCTGTCA